CCCCTCAAATTAGGAACATTTTTATTTTTCCAAAAAATGAATCAACTTAAAACGATAGGATTTTTGAATGGTCATCCTCACTTTGTTTGTGTGGCTAGACTTTATTGTATGTACAGTGGGCTGTATATGCTTTCATGCAGCCATACATAGAATTAATAACAATAATCCTAATGATGGGATTTTATAGCAAGGCACAGATTTCTATTGCAACTACTGAACTTGGTTTTTTAGCTTAAAAAGTAAGCAGCATAACTAGTTTATTAGTATGTTCTTAGTCTTGAAGCAAACTTATATTAAAAAAAAGAAGTCTTGAAGCAAACTTCAGTTACTTAGTAAAATGGAGAAAGTGATTTCTTCAAAATCGGAATGATACTCACAGGCATAGCTTTTACGGCTTTTCCCCCAAAGCCACCTCCTACCCTTCTTGTAATCACACGGACATTATGTTCAGGAACCCCAAGACATCTAGCAATTGTCGAATGTACATACTCGGGACACTGAGTTGAACTATAAACCACCATGCAGTTGTCTTCATCTGGTATAGCAAGGGCAGTTTGTGTCTCCATGTAGAAATAGTATTGGGACCCGATTCTGATCTGGACATCACAATTCATCACAATTCATCACAATTTTGATAGTAAGCTTGCATGATGGGACTCTATAAATGATGGGAGAAAGACCTGTACCTCTTACACAGTTAGCATCAGATAAAGAACGCAAAAGCAAGCAATAAATAATGTGTGAAAAATCAAAGTGGATAAGCTAAAATTCCCACATCTTGGTGACTTCTTATCCCTTTCCTCTAGAGGAACTATAAGGTTGCAAGGATGATCTGATTCGGATCTTTGAAGATTTATATTATTTTAAAAGATATCAAGGCAATGCCACACAAATACATTCACAAGAGGTCAAATGTGAAAAGATCAATCGGAGTTCCCAGGTCCTCATCATAAAGGATACTTTTGTCTTGCGCAACTAACCTTAATTGGGATTTACAACAGTTTGATATAAAAAATGCATTCCTCCATGAAAACTTAGAGGAAGAGGTGTACATGTAAATTCTACATAGATTTAAAGATGAGAGAATGCAAGGAAAAGTTTGTCAACCAAAAAATGCGTTATATGGATTGAAGCAGTCTCCAAGAGTATGATTTGAACGGTTTAAAACAGTTATGATCTCTTTTGGATATCAACAAAACAATGTGAATTATATCTTGTTTATCAAACATTGTGAAGGTAATGTCACTCTTCTTATTATTTATGTGGATGATATTATAGTGACTGGAGATGATACAAAGGAGATGACTCGGTTGAAAGAATTTCATACTCAAGAGTTTGAAATAAAATATTTGAAAAATTACAATACTTTTTAGGGGAATTGAAGTTGTCAAACCCAATAAAAAGATCTTCATTTCTCAAAAAAAGTATATCCTAAACTTACTAGAAGAGACTGATATAATGGGCTGCAAACCGGGA